ATATATATTTATATATAGATATATATCTATATTTATCTATATATAGATAGATTTAGATAGATTTAGATATATATCTATCTATATATATAGATACATAATATTTAAATTGTGCTTATTAAAAAAGAGCAAACTTACATTTTTGCCAGTGCATGTTCTGTGACAGCAGGCTAGAGTTTTTCTTCTTTGAAGTCGACAGTTTGACAGTTTGAAGGCTTTAAGTATGGAAATTTTTTTGCCTTTGAAAGCAGGATGACAATTGAGGGAGTATGTCTTCATCAGGGTTTTATAAGCCGAAGTGCCCGATTCACTGATGACATCATCACATGACCACAAGTAATGTGTCAAACACAACACACATGCAAGGAAGCTAATTTCATTTTAGATCAAGTACCGTGTGCAGGATAGTACAACATCAGAGCAAAATATGTTGAAATTAGCAATCTGTTCCAGAACTAGACCAAGTAACTAATAAATAAAATACACTTGGCAGTCTAATGTAATCCCTGCATTGTTCCGTTGTATTGTAGAGTGGTTGACGGGTCATACTTTATAACATTTACACTGATTTTGAATATAAGTTGTATATGTAAACCAGACAACGGTTTTTAAAATATATTTAGTCAACATATTTTTTGTTTTTTTTTCTGTTTTAATGAGGTACTGTCCCCAAGGAATATAGCATGGCAAGGAAACACCTGCAAGCTCTTCAAGCATCACTGATCCTCAGAAAGTCTTTCTCTTACTTCATAATAAGTTACCGTTCTCATATGTTGGTTAAAAGAAACTTAATTTAGAAGAGAAACATTTTTGTTTCATGTTAGGGCTTACAGGACTATTATATTACGTTCGAAAACTGAAAAAGATTACATGACTGCAATTCTAAAGACATCTGTGTAGTACCTTCATGCTGGGGTATATATATTGATGGATTCATTGTACTGTGGGCTACAGGCTATTTCCAGTCCATGGGCCCAAGTTTAATTTGATTGTGCATAAGGTCCAGTGTACACAGATATTTGTGTTGAATGCTTAATTTATTCTTTTGCAAATTACTTATATGATGGAGGTAGATAATAATACAAATTGCTTTTTTGGAGGGTGTCCATATATATTATGTATTCTCATTTAATAATATTAAAACATTTGTTGAGAAGAAAACAAAGACTGCAATTGATAATCACCTTCTAAAAAAAGGCTAAATACTTGCAGAGCTGAAACTTCATGTTATGGCCTCGAATATAACTGAAATTTTAAAGTGGTCTGTGTAGTACTTTCCTGGTGGGGTATATGCATTGATGGATTCATTGTAATGTGGTTATTCCCAGTTCATGGGTCCCAGTTTGGTTGTGCATAAGGTCCAGTGTACACAGACATTTGTACTGAATTTTGAATTGACTCTTGCAAAATACTTATGATGGTGGTAGATAATAATAAAAAGTGCTTTTTTAGAGTAGTGTATGTATTGTATATGATCGTTTGATACTAGTAAAAAATTTGTTGAGAAGAATACAAAGACTGCCACTAATAATCACCTTTTGAAAAAAGGTTAAAGACTTGCAAACCTGAAATTGACTACATTTTAATAACACTAAAGTTCAAGATTTTTCAGCATCCCCATGCGCCCCACTAAAGCCTGGGCACTAGGCAATCACCCATTCTGCTCCTAGTATACTCTACTATTGGGTGTATGTATAGACCATTGGTGGGAAAGTCAGACGATTTACTTACAAGTCTTGTTATTTGGATGCAGAACAGCTGTTTGCACCCTCTGTGGCACATAAAATGTAGACATATATCTATTTTTTATAGCAATCTATAGGTTAATGCATAATTTTATTGACCTTTTGTTGCATTGGTTCAGCAGTTGTAGTAACCTCATTGCTTGTGCTGGTAAACAATGCTGATCTATTACACTTATAATTTTGTAAGTATAATAGCTGCACACTCCTAATTCTTAGGCCAGTCTTTAACCAGAAAAGATGATATAATTATATATCTAAACATTCAAAAAAGAACGATGTTTCTTCTTAGCTTTTTGCTGTAGTTGTTTAGCTGAGTTGATAAACCTGTTGCATTGCACTGTGTTTTCCAACAGTGGATTTTAAAGAGATTTTGTGAGGGTGAGGGAAGGCAGCAATACTTTTCAAGAGATTGCATCTAGTATTGGTCCTCCTAGTGTTGTAACTTATTTTATAACTTTGAGGTGTGGCACATGAAACAGTACATGTACATGGAAATCTCTGGTTGGGAGCTCTGCTAGTTTACTGCAGATCCTATACTGTAGAACAGCTATTATATTCAGATTTATCTACATCACTCCCAAATAATAAATCAGGTTCTGTTTGTGGAAAAATCCAAGTGAAAAATGTTTGAAAAGTCACATCCACCTGTCTAATTCATAGGGTTTGGTTAGAATATAGAGATGAAAACACCTAGGGAGTAGTACAAAGTCCAGAAGTGATTCTATTAAGAGTTGTTTTTTTGTAAAAGCCTAAACGTTTTAGGGGTCTAAACCCCCTCACCCCCCCCCCCCCCCAAAGTAAATAAAACCAACAAACACAGCCTGCTCCAGTTGCTGGTTTGGCAGCCAAATTATGTAACCAACCATGTCCACATTGCAGTGTTGGTAAAATTATTGCCAAATACACGTACGTTTAAAGAGAAGGCTTACCTGCATTTGGTTTGTGACTTGATGGCCTGTCTTAGCATGACACACACTTGAGACAGTGAACTGCCCTAATAAGATATCATTTATTTTCTTCATGTGCTTGCTGCTCTGTATTGTGTACTGACTTGCTGCTTTGTTGAGTCTTAGTTTGTTGTTCTTTGTTGGTATCTTACCAAAAGGTATAATTTCTTTCCTTTCTTGTCTATTGGAGTCCTGACTTGCTTCTTGATTTTGGAATTGATCACTTTGTGAATTACTCTGGCAAGTATCAGGTAGTGTTTCTTGTAGATGCCAAGGGTTTGCTTGAAATACATTTTCTCCTAACCAGAGAAACCACTAAGACAGCATCAAAGTACAAAGTCAATCCAGAGCAGCATTCTTGGTTTACCGAGGGTTTAGGGAGATGCATAGTGGTTTATTACATATTTCTTTACTTACTTTACTTAATTAGTGTAGTGACATTCGGTCCAGTTGGAGGAATCACTGAATAAAATTAGGTGGACAGCAACTACAAAGGAACCAGGAAACAGATAGTGTGGTCAACTGGGTGTTCACCACAAATTATACTTGTATAAAGGTAATCTAACTTGAATCCACCATGAAAAAAACAGGTGTAACTAAGTTGTTTGTTCAGGCCTCTCAGGCCTAAAGTTTGTAGGTCAAAGATCCATTTAGATTCTAGTAACCTGTGATGCCGGTATCCTTCTATAGGGAGGTGGGCTACATGGTTGATGATGATGCATTTTAGACTTGGTAATGGATGTTGATCTAGTGCGAAATGTCTTGCAACAGGTTGGTCTGATGTGTCCTAGGTCAAAGCTTTGCCTATTGCAGATTTATGATTTCCAAGTCTCCCTTTGAATGTGGTGATAATTTTTTTCCCCCATGTAATACAAGCAGCGTGGGCAGAAAAGGAAGTAAATCCCAAATTCAGAATTACAGATTAACTGATGTTTAATACTAGTTGGTTTCCTGAGTTGGGATGTAGAAAGTAAGCTCCAGTGAAAAGCTGAATAACTAAATGTGCCGAGCTACAACAATAGTCAGATATAAAGAGTATAAAAAAAAATCAATGACTCAAACAAATGTCAGTGAATAAAAATCATTCAGGTGTAAAGTCTTTAAATCTTTATAACTCTGCAAAAATGTCCAAATATAGCAATAGTGATGAATATTTCTTGTTCCTTCACCAAATGCACCACGTGCGCCACACCAGATATAGGGGTGCTCACTTTATTGATAGACCCCAGCAAGAGGACAAATCAGGCAATTCCCTTCTTAACCAGGGGAGGGGGCCCTCAGCTCCAATCGCTCACAGATGTCCTCCAATGGTGTAATCAGACCAGCAAACAGATCTGTGTAACACTTCTTGAATAGAAAGCAATAACCTCCAATATTTATCGATCTATAGGCCTCCTCAGTATAAGGTGTCAATGCCAGGATCGTGTTGACAAAAAAAAAACGAGTATGATTTATTAAAAGAAAATTACTCACATAAAATCAGTGGTAACATAGCATGGACTCTCTCTTAAGAGTATGTGCAAGAGTTTCAAATGACTGCGGCCGTTAGTCGTATAGATCAATGTGACGTCAAATGCTCCGCCCAATGTGAGTAATTTTCTTTTAATAAATCATACTCGGTTTGGATGGTACGCGCTTCTCACTTCACCATCCTGTTTAGCTGGATCTCAGTTGGTACAGGATCAGAGTCATATTTACAAACTGTGCATATGGAATTCCCCAGAGCAAAGAAGGCAGATAGACACTACATATGTGGAATAGTGTATTCTGGTCCATCGTTTTATGGACACAGGTTCCCCGACTAGTACTTTCAGGACTGGTACATTTGTACATTTTAAGGTCATGGAAATTGATATCATTCTCAGATTTTGATAAAGTGTCATGGGTGCACGCTGTAATGCATTTTTATTTGTAAAAAAAAAGATTTAAATAAATAATAAAACGATACAAGAACTTGCAAGCTTAAAAAGAAACTAACATAAAAATAACCTCAAGCTTTTAAAATTACCTAAAAAAAATCTAGAATGTTTTACCAATATGTAACATACAGTTAAATATAATCTTAGACAAAAAATAGCAATCATGGTATATGTGTTGGTGTATCGTTTAGATTAGTTAGAGAACAACTCTAGTAAGAATTGGTTACTTCTAAACTTTTTTTTGTCCTCAGTCATGAAATCATTGGAATTAGAAAATAGGTTCACTTTCATAGTTAGTTAAACATATTAGGTTATAAGTAAAAGGGAACTATCACATTTTAGTCATTTTTAGAGCAATAATTCATAAAACTAACGTTTATTAATTTATTGTTATCTATACAGTATATATAGATATATATATATATCTAGTTATACATACACACAAGGAGTATATATACATACACACAAGGAGTGGTTGAAATCTCAGCCTATGTTCTGCATTTTCTGTGTCATACTTCCTGTGTTATCTCAAGGAGTTCACTTAGTCATCCTAGGTGTCTATTCACGAAGCTGCTGATCGTTTGGCTAGCTTTGACCCCAGGACCCCTTCGTTTCAGTAGAACCAAAGGGCTGC